TGTGTGTGTGTGTATAAAAAAGCGAAAGCACACATCGCAGTAGAAGGCACTGGATTTGGGTTTATGTCAGCAACCTTAACTTCCATTAATAAAAACCGATTTCACAGGGAGGTGATTTCATTAGTAAGTTGACCGTACCTTTCATCGCTTCTATGTTGAGGTTGATCGGAGATTAATGATAGGAATATAGACAACATGAGTTTTTCCAGAAGCCTCTCGCTCTGGGCTCCACTAAGGTCTTTGGTACTATGGCCGGCTAGTTTTCAGAGTTCCGTGTGTCTGTGGAAGCAGTAAATAGGATTTCTGTGGTACTTCCAACCCTCGCTGTTTCTTAAGAGTGCCTACGAGTATCACAGTTTACTATGAATTTACTCTGAGGCAAGATTATTAAAAGAATAAACAACAACAAAAAGAATAAATTGGATAGTTTTCCTGCCAACTGCAGTGAGGTGGCTATATTACTTAGATGATAGTTCTTTAGTATCTGCTCTGGGCCATGCCCCATGCTAGATTTCATGGAAATCTTCATCTGCCTTAGTGGTTTGCATCTGTGTATCAGATGACTAAGCATGTTTATTTTATACTAGCCTCCAGCAATGGTAGATGTGAAATACTGCAAAAGAACTTTAAAGTTGACCCAGGAATTTAATTTTTAAAAGACCGATTCATTTCGCTCAATGAAGAATTAGTTTAAACCCAGTCGGCCTATAGTGCCAGGCTTAGCAAACATTTCCTGTAAAGTACCAGATCATAAATATTTTAGGCTTTGGGGTGCCATATGCTCTATTCTGTCCTGGCTCTTGGACTCGGCTGTCACAGGGAGAAAGCAGCCATGGTCAGTGAGTGAACCTGGCAGGCTGTATTCCAGTGAAACTTGACTGGTGGACTCCGAAATTTGAATGGTATGTGAATTTCACATTTCACAAAATATTTTTTTTTTCTCTTTTTTAACATTTTATTAGGGGCTCATACAACTGTTATCCCAATCCATACACACATCAATTGTGTAAAGCGCATTTGTACATCGTTTCTCAAAACATTTTCTCTCCATTTAAACCCCCGACATTAGGTCCTCATTTTTCCCCTCCCTCCCCGCTCCCCCCTCCCGCATGAGCCCTTGATAGTTTATAAATGGGTATTTTGTCATATCTTGCCCTGTCCGACGTCTCCCTTCATCCACTTTTCGGTTGTCTGTCCCCCAGGGAGGAGGTCACACACAGTTCCATGTAATCGGTTCCCTCGTCCCTACCCATTCCCCCTTTACCCTCCCTGTTTTGCCACTCACACCACTGGTCCTATAGGGCTCATCCATCCTGGATTCCCTGTATTTTCAGTTCCTATCTGTACCAGTGTACCTCCTCTGGTCTAGCCAGTCTTGCAAGATAGAATTCGAGTCATGGTAGTGGGAGCGGGGAGGAAACCTTTAGGAACTAGAGGAAAGTTGTATTTCTCATCATTGTTACATCGCACCCTGACTGGCTCATCTCCTCCCCGAGACTCCTCTGCAAGGGGATCTCCAGTGGCCTACTAATGGGCTTTGGGTCTCCACTCCGCACTCCCCCCATCATTCACTATGGTAAGATTTTTTGTTCTGATGATGCCTTATACCTGATCCCTTCGACACCTCGTGGTTGGATAGGCTGGTGTGCTTCTTCTATGTGGGCTTTGTTGCTTCTGAGCTTGATGGCCGCTTGATTACCTTCAAGCCTTTAAGACGCCAGACGCTATACTTTTTGATAGCCGGGCACCATCAGCTTTCTTCACCACATTTGCCTATGCACCCATTTGTCTTCAGTGTTCCGTTCGACACCCCGTGATCACACAGGTTGATATGTTCACACAAAATATTTTTTAAATATATTTTTTGGCCATTAAAAAAATGAAGAGCCATTCTTACTTAGCTTGTGGTCTGGATTGGGTTTGACCCTATGCTGTAGTTTACCTATCCCTGCTATAAGGTGTCAGTGGCTCCTTATCTAACAAAACTCAAAACTCACTGCTGTGGACTTGATGCCAACTCTTAGCATGACTCTGTAGGACAGGGTAGAACTGGCCCTGTGAGCTTCCCACACGGTAACTGTTTACGGGAGTAGAAAGCCTCTTTAAACCAGTAGGCAAAGCCTCTTTAAACCAGTAGGCAATCAACCATTCCTTGTAGACATGGTATATTCATTGTATACTTATCGTGTCTTTGATGTAGCTGTTGGCTTCTATCACTTCCTCAGACAGAACTGCATGGGGTTGTCAGATGAAACATGGATTTGAGTTCCAGATGAAACAGCCAGTGAATTTTTTTTAGCATAAAATGTTGGTTGTTTACCTTTACCTAAAAGTCAGATTTAACTTGAGTGCCCTGCATTTTTACCTGCTAAATTTACAGCCTCCCAACCCTAGGAGGATGTAGCTGTATTAAGGTTGGAAATTCGGAGGGGATTCTTCTAGCGTTTTCACTGTGATTTAAACAACTCTGTTATAAAGAGCTGCTCTTTTGTGGGGAGAATTATGGCTGAAAGACTGATGAAATAAAAGGGGTTTCTAAGAGTTTCTCAAACTAGTGATGAAAGGATTTTTTTTCCTCGAAAGGAGATCTGTTTATTATTCAAATGTGAGAAGAACCTTGTCTGTGCTGATGTCGAATGTTATGCCACAATCACTCCCAGAATCCATTACAAGAGCTAAGGGGTAAAGCTCCTGTGGAGCCCGATGCAGGCCAGGTGCTGGAGCTGAGTGTTGGCGGCGAGCCAAGCACAAGGCCCCTGGGGAGGGCCATCTATGTATTTATACAACCATGTAATAGGGCACAGCAAGCCCGACAGTTGCTATCTCCCAGTGTTGGACAGGAAAGGCCTCTCTGATAAGCTATCAGTTGAGCAAAGACCTGTGTGAAGGGAAGGCGGAAGCCCTGTGGGTGTTTGGGGAGAGAGCATCCTAGGACAGGTCAGCTCAGCTTCACTTCTGGCCGGAGAATGAGGGCATATCTGCTCTGTCAGCCATTGGGCTGAACCCAATGGCAAGGAGGGCAGAGGCAGGCCGGCCTAGGTGGGGTGGTCCTGTCAGGTGATGGTGGGTATGTTCTCCATGGGTGTGAGTGACGGAAAATGAAATTCCTGTGATGAAACTCCCGGTTCCTCTGACAGCCTAGCGAGGAGGGCAGCTAGTGGTGGCGGTTTCTCAGCAGTGAGATACGTTGTACACTGGAAGCATTGCTGCATCCTGACCCTCCCTGACCTGGCTTGTTAGACTCAATAAAGGGACGCATGGATTCCCGGGAAAGAGGGAAGACTTGCGCGGATGAAGTACCATTCCTTCTTATTATGGATGCCTTTGTTTAAAACAGGCCAGTTAGTAGATGAACCTGAGGATGCTGTAGTCTTAATTGCTGGTGTTGTAGAAGAGTAGTTTACACAGCAAACTGACTTGGGTTATTGTGAACATTATGATGAAATGATAATGTCCTCAGTGCCTTGATGGCAGTGGAAACAGTCTTTATTTCAATCTGCAGCTTTTCTTTTTTCTTGTAGGAGGGTTTCTTGCTGGGAGAGGTGAAACAAGAGGAGACCTTTAGCATCAGTGACTCACAGATCAGCAACACAGAATTTCTGCAAGTAATTGGTAAGTACAGTTACCACTGGTCTTTCATTTTTCTCACACTGCACATTTGTTGGAGGACTCATCCTCCTTCTCATCTGGAGGGTTAAGAATGGCACATGCTCACTGCTGTCGAGTCCGTTCTGACTCACCGTGACCACAGAGGGCAAGATGGAACTGCCACATCGGGCTTCTGAGACTGACTGTTACTGGGGTAGACAGCAGCATCTTTCTCCCGCAGAGCAGCTGGGAGTTTTAGTGTACACTTGTCTCTTCCGGTCATTTCCACACGTGGTCCTATATGGTATTAGCTATAAGTTGAGGTATTGTACATAAAGCTCTCTCCTACCCATGAATGGGTTTGTGGATTCCTGAGTCTCGATGGTTACTGGTAGTCTCTGTAAAACCCCAAGGAGCCTCAGGTATGTAGGTGAGGCCCATTGCCAGCGTTGCCTCCTGCTGCAGTGCATGCCAGTGTGAAGGTGCTTTATGGTCTTTCCTGAGAGTGGCTGTACCTCCAGAGCTCCTGTGTGATGAGCTGAACCGTCAGAGTAGGTGAGGTGGCAGGGGCAGGTCAGGTCATATTGCAGGTGTCCCCTGTCGACATCGGCCACCTTTTGGTAACTCGGCTCATTGTCCTTTCGGCGGCACCCCGACACATCACCTGGCAGCTAGCCCGACAGCCAGTGAACAGAGCCGGGGCCCTTCCATCCCCATGTCCAGCAGCCATTTGTGCGGAGCTTCCCCAGGTGAGGCAGGTGCTGAGCACACAGCACATCCAGCTCCCCATGGAGCAGATGGGGGCGGGGTTGCCGGCAGGAGCTGAGGATATGATAGGTCTGTGCAAGCCCGGCCAGGGCCAACTGATGCTGTGATGGCAGGACGGGACAGGAAAGCTGGCCAGAGGTGGACATGAAGGGAGCCGGGGAATGCCGAGAGCACTCAGGGAGAGGCTGGCCTGCTGACGCCAGAACGTGTGGAGATGAGTGGTGGGAAATCCAGCAGCAACAAGAGCGAGCTAGCGGGTTGAAACTAAACCTCACTCGCCATCATTTCAGCCTGTTAGTGAAAGCCTGTGTGGAGGCGGGGCAGCTGTTTACTCTGTGAGCCGGACCCCACCCTACATGCATGTTTGGTCTCAAGGGACATCTGTGCAGCTCCGCGCTGTTTGCACCCGGGCTGTCGGGGCATTTGGTAGATCAGAGCTGTGATGCCAGCAAACCATGAAGGACGCTCTCTTCACGGGCATGATTCAAAAACGTGTTTCTGGTGATTATTATTTTGTGTGTGTGTGTGTGTGTGTGGTTTCGAGTTTACTTCCACGGGCTGTGGGGCTTGGGAAAGTGCACATGTGATTAGACAGTAAAGAGTGGTGTTCTCTCAACTTCTTTCTGGTGTTTGTTTGTTTTCTATAACAAGAACCTGACACTTGGCTGATTCAAAGCCTGCCTAATCTTCAGGCAGGCAGGGAGGGCCCTGCCATTGGTGCTGGCTGATCAGGAGGGTCTGGCGCTGGAGAGGCTGGACGGCTTAGGGGCTTCCCCTTGGTGTCCTTTGCCAGATCACAGGCCTGGTGGGATCCCAGGTGCTCTGGGGCTTCCAGCACCAGAGCCATGAATGGAACAGCAGCCGTCCTAAAGGAGAAGCTGGCCCACCGGTGGCCCAGGGCAGCCTTGGGAAGCCCCAGGCGTGGGGGATGGCTTCCCCAGGGAACATGGAACTTCCACGGGAGCTGTCACTGGAAGAGGACCCCAGGCAGCACTGTAGTAGCCCTCGGTGGCCAGACCCAGCTGCTGGAGGGACGCTGCCATGCTCCCGCTGAAGGAAACCTTGGCGAGAGATCACTGGTGGTGAGGCTTGGGGATGAGGGGCTAAGCCCAGAGTCCATTGGCACCAGAGGCCGGGCCAGGACTGAGACATGTGCGGGAGGGTGTGTCTAATGATGGTTTTTAAAGAAACGGAATGGTGAGATGATTTGAATGCCGCCCAGTATATAGTGTACTACTGATTTTGATGTATAACCCCTGGCTCTCGCAGGAAATGCCGGTTTCCATGGTATTATAGGTGCGAAGAAGCCCCAGCTAACACAGTGCCATGACAACCATCTCTTGCTTTATTGATGAGCTCCCTTCGGTTCATTCGTGATAAACAGTTGTGGACCTTGTGGAGAAAGTGCTTCTGAGTGTTGTTATCTGCAGTGCGTTATTGCTGCTTTAGTGTTTTTCATTTAAAAAGACGTGCATCTTTGAAACTGCAAACTGGGGGCTCTGGGCCAACCTTAAACGAAAGGGCAGCTGTTGGGTGGAGTGGCCCATGTGCTGTGCTCCTTCCCATGCCTGCCATAGCTTGAATAAGATGGTGGAAGTAAAACACATTGACCAAATTTATTACGTGTTAAAAATGTTTGAATCTGAAACCCACAGGGGCTCTCTGAGTCAGCATAGACACAATGGTCGCCCAGGTTGAATGTAAGCTAACTGAGTATTGTTTTGCATGCACTTTTGTGTAAAGGCTCCACGAAATCATGTCCAGTGGAGCTTGTGTACTCCGGGTTCCAGGAGTGCCGGGAGGAGGCAGTAGCAGACAGGGTCCTCAGTTCAAGGACCCGCAGATACAGTCCGAGGGGAAGGAAAGGGGGAAGAACTGTGAGCCAGCAGGAGGGTAGCCGCAGCCGCCCTCCCTCGTGGTGAGAGGCTGAAAGAAGTGTGTGCAGAAGGGCAGGTGCACAGGGAGGAGTGGGTGTGGGGGGAGGTGGTTAGGTGTGGCCACTCTGGACAGTGTAGGTGAGGCCGGCAAAGCCACCATCTCTGGCTGCCAGCTTTGGTGCTCAGACGGAGCTCTCCTGTTGGGAGCCCTCGCCCTGTTCCCTCCCAGGACGGGCTTGGAGATGGCCAGCAGTGCAGTGGGGAGCGGTAGCTGCCTGTGGGAGGCAGGATGTGCTGTGTGTGGCTTCGAGGTCTTCCCCTCCAGATGGTCAGTTGTGAAACTGTTGAGGCCGGTGGAATGGCAGCTGTGGGGGTGCTGGGTGCAGAATTGACACTAGGGACCCCCTCCCCCTTATTTTTAATGTCTGAATTGGGTGAAGGGGTAAAAAGCAGATCCGTGTTTCCTTCAGCAGTTGGTACCCTTTTTGTGGTTCATGCCCGGCATGGGCTGCAATACCCGCAATCCCACATCACTCATCCCATTTCCATCCCGAGTTTCCCGTCTTCCCGTCTCCCTCCGCCTGGTCCCCAACCCTTCTCAGCTTGGAGCTTGGAGCTCAGGTAAATCCTGCCCTCTTGGTCTTAGATGGCTGATGGTTCTAAAGTATGCCTGCCTCACTCGTATTGTTCCTCTCCATTGGTTACCTGCATATTGAGCGATGGAGAAGGATTCATTTCCAGACCAAATTTCAGGGGTTCCGTAGAGTCAGGATCGACATGACCCCCGGGGTTTGGGCTCAGTTTGTGTTTGCCTGCTTAATGAGACCTATCTGCTCTCTTTCTCATTTCAGAAATCCATAACCATCAGCCTTGTTCAAAACTGTTTAGGTAAGTCCACCCTTCTTTGTCGCCCTTGAGCCAGATCCAAAGTCTGAGTGACTGAAAATGGGGGCGTTGAGGCCTGTAGCTGCTGAGGGCCCAGGAAATGGGGGGACGGCGAAGTGAGGCAGCCCAGCAACTTGCTTACTGAGGGCAAGCCAGGAGCCTGGCACTAGGTCAGGGTGGGCTCGGGGAGAGCCGTGTCAGTCTGGCCTCAGGATTAGGGTGGAGGCGTTCTCTCAGCTCTGGGGCGATGAGTTCATGATTTAACCCTAATCAATCCTTGTTCCCTCCTGGGTTCTTCACCCACACAGGGTGGAGCCAAGCAAGGACTGCGTTTTGAGAGAATCATCGAGTGGTTGTTTTTAAGGAGGCATACAAAATATTCCGAGTTCAAAGTTAAGTTTTTAAAGAAAGAGAACGGCAAGCTTTCTTTATGTGTTTAATATGCACCAGTTCCTGCTGGGGACCACCCGGAGAGCAGGAGGAACAGGCAGTGGGAGGAGAGAGGATCGGGAGGGAGAGGACAGTCAGCAGGAGGCTGGGGTGGGGGGGGCAGGAGCCCCACTCCCCGGGCTGCTGCTGCGCCCTGGCCACCACCCAGGCACCATTTAAACATTTAAAATGCCCACTACACACACACACACACACACACACACACACACACACACCATTATTTGCTGATGGTTCCAGAGAGTCATTGTCCAAGTCAGTCCCACCTAATGGCAGGGAGACCGGAAACTCGGAGCAAATGGGACAAGTCTTGGTCCACACCTTGCTTCTGCTTCATCTCCAGAAGTGTCAGCATTGCCCTGACTGCCCTAGGCCCCCAGGCATGCCCTGCTCGCCCCTCTGGGGAATTCCTTAAAGCCCTGCCAGCAAAGTGGCACTCCAACAAGAGTTGAGTGACTGTAAAATCATGGCCTCTTGATCCTTAGAGGTTAGGGAAGAAACCTTACAGATCACCTGCTCACATCAAAGCCCTTCTTTGGCCAAGAAGGGAGTGGTGGCCACTGGGCCATGGGACTTGCCCTGGCCACACAGTGAGAGGCAAAACTGGGACTTACCTCGGGATCTCTGAGTCTGCCTGCTGTACAGGAAGCTCCCTCCTGCCTCATGGGCCCTGGGCGGTGCTAGAACTACAGGCTGTGCTGGAAGAGGCCCACTCACCCAGGCTCTAGGCCAGGTTGGTTTGTCCGGAGGGGAGCAGCTTAGGCCCGAGCTAGCTGGCCCTGCGTTCCAACCCCAGCTCTTCATCTACCCGCCCTGTGATTTGGGGCAAGTCACTCGCCCTCCACGCGTGAGCTACAAAAATAGAAGTGAACCCTGTGTCTTCCCAGCATGGAGGCTAGGCTGAAGGCAGCAATAGGGGGTCACAAGGCAGTGCAGCCTGGGGCATCTGCAGTCTTTCGTGGAAATGCTCATTGCCCTTCCCCTTCTCTCAGAAAACCCTTAGAAAATGAACTGCCGCCCCAGGTTTATTTCCTAAGGAATTGACACTTAGAAACCAGAGACGCGACAGTCACTGGAAACCTGCACTTGGTATCAACATCTACACGCGAAAGCAAAAGCTCTTGAGGTCGCAATCTCTGGAGTGTCCTGTGGTCCAAAAGAGGCCTCACTTTACTGAAGCACGTAGCCCAATGTCTCTCGATGTGCCTGTGGAAGGCAAGTAACTTTATCCTTGCTACCAACTTTTAGGGTTAGATGCCACTAAGCATGCCCATATCGCAATACTGTGTGATTTTAATTTAACTGAAACCATTTTTTCCTTTTAACAAAATACACCAGTTTCTATGACTACGCCAGCAAAGTAAATGAAGAGCGTTTGGACAGGATTCTGAAGGAGCACAGAAAGGTGAGCTCTGGGGAACGAGCAACAGAGACACGTGTGCAAGATGTGAAAATAATATTAATTCATCGTTTATCAAGGGTTCATGAGAGTGGGGGAGGGAGAAAAATGAGGATCTGATACCAAGGCCTCAAGTAGAAAGAAAATGTTTTGAAAAGGATGTTGGTAGCATATGCACAACTGTGCTTCATGCAGTGGATGTATGGATTGTTAGCTGTCAGAACCCCCAATAAAACGATTTTAAAAAGGAAAGGTAAGCTCTACTTGCTGCCCAGTAGCTGGGTTCAAAAAAGCCCTCTGTATCTCATTGCCCCGGAAAGACCAGGGAAGGAACATGGAACGGTGAGATTTGCTGAGAAGGTGCGCAAATTCTGTTAATTGGTAAAGATTTGAAAGGCACGTGTCCGGTGTGAAACCATAGACAGGACCGTGAGTCCAGTGAATGTACATGTCAAAAACGAGAAGTTAACTAGAATCGAGAACGTTTGCACTCTTTGATTGTGGGTTATTCTGGTTTTCTACTTTGTCATTTAAAAAATTATTTTGTAAACCCACCTCCCTCTCTGTCTCACTGCCATCGAGTCAGTGCTGACGCATAGCAACCCTGCAGGACAGAGTAGACTTGCCCTGTGAATTTTAGAGACAGTAGCTCTTTACAGGAGTAGAAAGTCTCATCTTTCTCTGGCTGGAAATCTATATTACATGTGTATTAATTGTACAATTGAGGAAAAGATCTTCCTAAACATGTAGATTGCAGCCAGACGTTTTGGGGGACACTTCTCCTGTCTACTTAATTAAAGTTGAACAAGATGTGTTCCCAACGGATCATCTACTTATGGTTTCTGTCAGTGTGCTTGTAGAATGTCCTGATTGTGTGTGACAAAGCCAGCCCGAATAAAATGCCATGAGCCCAAGTTCTGGACTGCAGTATTTCCAACGTCTTATTTGTAACCTTGTAACTTACATGCAACTATGATAATGCATGAGTTTTCCTTTCTTACCATGAGAGATTTATTTCAGAAAAATAGGGTGGCTGTTCACCTATCTCTTGAGATTTTCTTTCTTTAATTTCTAGTAGACCAGTAAGAGTTTTCAATTTGTCAAACAGGAAAGCCTTGAAAAGAAGCTGATGGGGCTATAGTTGAAGAGATGCATCATAACACAGTAGGTTACGGGGAGGCTCAGTCCCAAGGTAGTCTGAGAAGGCCATTCCATTAGCTCTCCGCCTTTCTAATGTGCGGCGTGTTCTCAGGTTACAACACTGCTGAAAGACCCACAGGTCAGTAGCGACAGCCAGGTGGAGCTTCCTGAGCTGCCTATTGCAGCGCGGGGAGCCATGGTAAGTTGGTGTCTGCGCTGACTCTGCTGCTCCCGGGGTCAGGAATCTCCGATAAGCGGCAAGCTGATCTGTAGCTTGGCTTACAGGGCTTTGTGCTAAAACGTATGCTTCCTGCACAATTAGGAGGAAAACTTACTTGGAGATGCTTGGTTTTCCTTACGGTTCAGTCAGGGTCTTAACGATGGCTTCGATTCCAGTGTGTTTTTTCTGGTGCTTTATACAGCATCTGAACACCATCCCTTCCTTCCTCCTCCCTCCTCCCTCCCCTGGTAAAAAGCCAAATTCCCAGCATCAAAGTAGAAAAGATATTTAATATTTCCATGGCTGAAAAGCTTTATAATTGATTCTAGATTTGTGACTGTCCCCAAGGAAGTCACAAAACGGTGCCTTCACCTCAGAAAGGCTTCTGTCGTCCTGCCGAGCCACGTGGCTGTGGGCTGATGGCGAGGCTGTGGTTGAGAGGGGCCTCCTGCGCCCCGTTGCTGCTCTGGTCAAGCCCACGTGGAGTTTACAGAGCTTCCACGGCCCCAGGGCTTAAGCTAAGGCCAAATAAGGCAAGTTAGAAGGGAGCTGCCTGCCTTATAGAAGTGTCTGCTCTGAAACCGATAAAGGCAGACAGCGCAGTCACCCCAGTGTCTTCCTGAGGACAGCCACCCCAGTGTCTTCCACGGCCAGTGCTGAGCCACCTCTACCCTAGTCACCATGTCTGTCACCTCGGTCTCTGAAACTCATCTCTGCCACTCTAGATAGACGGTTTTAAGGAAAGAGCTCCGTAATTTTTCATTGTGTCCCAACTGAAGCTCTTATAAATGTCTTCCAGCGTCGAAGGCCCATTTCTCAGGAGCCTAGCAGCTCACGTAGTAGCTCTGAACAGTAGAATCATCAATATCACCAATGAGAAGGAACTTGGCACCTTATTTTTTGTTGGTTCATATGGAGGATCTTTTTTGGCAAATCAATATTTTGCTGCTTATCAATCGGTACCTAAAATACATTCACAAGGCTCCCCACTTTTCAGAACAAAATGCAAATGAAATAAAGCAATAAAGCCATTTGTGTACAATCAACCACACACATTTAGAGTGTTGTAGGCTTTGGCAAGTTTTGTCGCCAATACACCCATGAAGCCATTTCTGCCATTAGGCGAAGGACAGCATCATCGCGTGGAAAAGTGTTCTCACGTCCCTTTGTATGCCTGCCCCCACTGCTCGGCTCGATGTCCCTGTCGGTCAGTGTCATCTTCTAGCATCTCACACAATGGGTTCCTCTAGCCTCGCTTTGGTGGGACAGAGCTCCATCTTCTTGCTGCGTAATTCTCTCTGGAGCCACTGTGCTGTCGTGGATACCAGTAGCTTTTTCTTTCCTGTCACTGAGCAGGCTCTCACACCTAGGTAGACCACATTTGCTTGTCTATCTGTTTACCTGTTGGTGGACTATTAGGCATGCCAGTTTTCACCATTGCAAATAATGCTGCTCTGCATCTTAGTGCCCATGTGCTCCCATGGATACACGCAAACGCCAGCCCGTGGGATTTCACGCCACCTTGGGGTGTTTACATGGCTTTTCTTGCAGAAAGTCATTGGCTGGTACCGATTTCGGCGGAATACGCAGCAGCAAATGTCCTACAGAGAGCAGCTTCTCCACAAACAGCTCACCAGGATCCTGGGTGTGCCAGACCTCGTCTTCCTGCTCTTCAGCTTCATCTCCACCGCCAACAGCTCCACCCATGCTTTAGAATACGTCCTCTTCAGGCCAAACCGGAGGTAAGGCGCACTTTGCCAGCCGCCCCCGCTACCAGGGATGCTGGGCAAGTTGTAACTGGTGGCTTTGCCATGCATTATGGCCCACGACAGATCCTGTACCAGGAAAATGCTCTCTAATGCCGGCAGTGAGTCTGCTTTGTGGTTAGAGAGTGTCTGTGCTCTGCCAGCTAGTTTTCAGTGCATTTGATTGCAAGTTAAACCCTATTTTTAACTAAGAAGCACTGATAAGACACATTTATATGCCTTGAACTCACAGAGGAATGAGCATCCTGGGCTCCTGTCTGGCTTCTCCTCCGTTAGCGGAAACACAGCTCTTCGGCTGCAGTCGTCTGATGGGCATTTTCAAACAGGAGTTCGAAGGTAGCAGTGTAAACTGACCCACCTGCTGGGTAGGCAGGGTTTGCACGGTGATGTGGCCTTGGTGTCCTGTCTGTAACCAGACAGGCCTTGGTCTGATAATCCACCTGAGTAGAGTAGATGAACGGTCACCCGAGGGAATGGTGACTGCCGTTAACCAGCCTCATGTGGCTCCCATCCAGGGGGCAGCAGGGCCTGCGTGGGACTCCCGGCCTGTACCACCCTGGTAGGTGCGGGGATGCACAGCATGCACACCACATGACCTTGGCCCTCCAGGGGCTTCCAGATGAGCTTCCACTGGTGGTTTTCCCTCTTCAATAGTGTGTATTTTGTTGTCAAGTGTATAGACAGCACCCAAACTCCAAAGCCAACCCACTGCCGGAGCCCCTCCCTGCCCTTAGCAACCCCACAAGACAGCTTTGAACTGACCCACTGAGCTTCCAGGGCGCCTGCCTTCTCCGTGTGTAGCCCAGCCCTTTAGCCCCTGTGCTACCAAGGCCCTGGACATTGTAATCACATGCTGCGTTGGTTGCAGTCCCTGCATGCCCCAGCCTTTCTTCCCTCCTCGAGTTGATCCGCCCTCACGAGAACCAGTCTCTCAGAGTTCTGGTGCCCACATCCTCGAGGGGTCAGCCCATGCCCCGCAGACCCCCTGCTGTGCAGCACATCGAGATGCAGCCCCTGCCGCCAGGGCCCCGTGTAGGCAGACCAGAGGCGTGCTATTCAACCACCTCTTCTCACTTTCCCACAGGTATAACCAGAGGCTGTCGCTTGCCATTCCCAACCTCGGCAATACCAGCCAGCAAGAGTACAAAGTGTCTTCAGTGCCAAACACCTCGCAGAGCTACGCCAAAGTGATTAAAGAGCACGGGTAAGGCAGCAGCACCGGGGGAGCCCTGCCCTCACGTGGTCAGCGCGGCTTCTTTGATCAGAGTGCTTATAAACTGGTGGATGGAGGCGTGATTCAGGTTTGCTAGATGGGGATGGTGGACCTCGGCGAGGTCATTCTCTGGAGCAGGGCTCGGCCAACTGCCACTCAAGAGCTGTATGTGGCTCTTTCCATATTATGCACACATGGCTCAGAAGTACCATGGAAGACTTTTAAAGGATACTGTTCACATATGGTGATTTCGTTTGTAAGAATCGATTTCTGCCTCGCAGATCATGTTTCAGTTGTTGTGAGGGACAGGAGGCTCTTCTGCCTTACAAGTTGGACAGCCCTTAAGCTGGACTCTCACCACCATGTAGCCACACCTTCTTCTACCTCAGGAGCCAGTTTACCAAACCAATCCACCTTTTATCAGTGGCCACATTCCTTTCTCGCAACAGCTACAAAACTTGGCTAGAGTGTGTGTCCCGGAGGGTCTACAAGCTAAGCGTGGTTCCCGAGGCCTGCGCCACCCTCCTGGAGAGGCGGGTGGCAGAGAGCCTCCCACTTTGGCGCCCACCACCGCAACAGAGCAGCTCCACAGGAAAGCAGGCGGGTAGTTTGGGGTTTCCTGGTGTAGATAAAAGTTAGTTTACTAGGAAGCAAAGAACTTTTATAGAGGTCTAAATATAGGCATGTACATATGTAAATATATTTATATATTAGGAGAGCAAAATAGATCTATGTACATATATTTATATGTGAATTATTAAATAGGTAGCAGGCGGATATTGGGCCTCTACTCAGGTACTCCCTCAACGCAAGAACACTTTGTTCTAATAACCTGGCGTTCCATGATCCTCACCTTCCTGACACAATCACTGAAGACAAAGCGGGTGCACAAGCAAATGTGGTGAAGAAAGCTGATGGTGCCCGGCTATCAAAAGATTTAGTGTATGGGGCTATCAAAAGATATAGTGCCCGGCTATCAAGAGATATAGTGTATGTATAGTGCATGTGGTCTTAAAGGCTTGAAGATAAACAAGTGGCCATGTAGCTGAGAAGCAACAAAGCCCACATGGAAGAAGCACACCAGCCTGTGTGATCACAGGGTGTTGATGGGATCAGGTATCAGCCATCAAAGACCCAGAACAAAAATCCTATCATTGTGAATGAGTGGGAGTGCAGAGGGGAGACCCCAAAGCCCATCTGTAGACAATTGGCCATCCCCTTACAGAGGGTCACAAGGAAGAGACGAGCCAGTCAGGGTGCAGCACAGCACTAAGGAAACATACAGCTGTCCTCTGGTTCTTTAATGCTTCCTTTCCCCCCTCCCCACTATCATGACCCCAATTCGACCTTACAAATAAATCCAGCTAGACCAGAGCATGCACATGGGTACAGATAAGAGCCGGAAGCACAGGGAGTCCAGGACAGATCACCCCACAGGACCAATAACGAGAGTAGCGATACCAGAAGGGTAGGGTGAAGGTGGGGGGAGAAAGGGGGAACAGATCACAATAATCTACATATAACCCCCTCCCAGATGGACAATAGAAAAATGGGTGAAGGGAGACATCGGTCAGTGTAAGACATGAAAAAATAATAATAATTTATAAATTATCGAGGGCTCATCAGGAGGAAGGAAGGATGGGGGAGGGAGGGAGGAAAAATGAGCAGATACCATGGGCTCAAATAGAAAGAAAATTGATGATGGCAACCAATGTACAAATGTGCTTGATACAATGGGTGTATGTATGGATTTTGATAAGAGGTGTAGGAGGCCCCAATAAAATGATTTAAAAAAATAAGTTCAAGCCCCCGAGGGGCTCACCTTATCTTTCCATTCCATTTCCCTCGAGCTTTGTGGAGCTCCATGAGGGTGTAGTGACAGTATGAGACAGGGCACTGTCCCCAGAGTGACCTCTGGGAGGCAGGCAGGAGCAGAGAAGGGGTGTGGTATCTATTGCCCGCCCCAGACAAACCTGCCATCTGTTAATAGCTTGGTGTCCGAGCAGGGGGCTCCAGGGGCTTTGCCTGTCACCAGGACTCCTCTCTTTCTCTCTCCTGCAATTCCTGTCATGTGAGCACCTTGCTCAGACTAGGAGGCTGCCCTGTAGACTCAGCCCTGACGTGAAGGGGGAAGGGCTCTCCAGCTCGGCCGTGACACTCATGTGTGACATCTCCTTGTGTCTTCCAGGACGGACTTCTTCGACAAGGACGGAGTCATGAAGGACATCAGGGCCATCTACCAGGTTTATAACGCGCTCCAAGAGAAAGTGCAGGTAGCGGCTCCCACGGCCCGCTCGCTTGCTCTCCTCAGCCTCTCTCCTGCTTGGAGTCTGCTCAGGCTGCCCGGGCGCAAACGCACTGTGGGTCCTGCCTGGCTGCCTGAGTAGGAAAGTCCCAGACCCTGTCCTCTGGGGTTAGAGGGGCTCACCAGGAGTCGAGGCCTCTGCCAGCCCCGCCTCCGAGCAGTTCCCCACCTCACCCTGCCCACCCCACTGGGCAGCGCCTGCCTCCAGAGAGGGCACCATGGTACCCCTGACCCGTTCCTCACGGCCGCCCCAGCACGCGGTCCCCAAGGCGGTGACAGCCATCCCAAGGTGTGGCGTGGTGTCTCGTCGTTCCCATAACGATGAGTGTCCTTGTTAGCTGCTTATGTATCTTCTTGGTAGAAACATCTGGTTTTCTCCTCTCCCGGATTTTCATTGGGTTGTTTGTGCTGTTGCATTGTGTCCTGTCCGCTGCGGAGTGGGGGTTATAAATAAGACGTGAAAGCATCTCCTTCCGCCCGTAGCTTTTGTTCTTCCCAGTACAAACGATGGGAGGGGGACAGATGAGCGCTTGCCCTGACGTTCCCCCAGAGATCAGCTCGCGGCCGTCCTGCCCAGACGCCTGACCAGTGGCACCGCCCCGCCCGCCTGGATCGGAAGCTCACTGCTTGTTCTCCTTCCCCTCAGGCAGTGTGCGCAGATGTGGAGAAGAGTGAGCAGGTTGTCGAGGCTTGTCAGGCAGAGGTGAACAAATTGAAAAGACAGATCACTCAGAGGAAAACGGAAAAGGAACAAGAAAAGCGTAAGTTTCTGCCGGATCTTACCACTCAGGCCACAGAGACACTTTGTGTACAAAAATGAAATGTCAGAGGAAAGCACCAGAATCCTCCTTCACGCTCGGGGCCCCAGTGCAGGTGGGCCAGAGGGCGGGCCTTCTTTGTTCCAAGGAGTACGGGCTTCTCACGGGGAGAGCGAGCAAGAGAGGCGGCAGAGAGTGAGGCTCTAGCCTAGGTGCGACTGCTGTCAGTGTGTGTGCCCCTGACCAGGAGGGTCCACTGACGTCCGTGGCTGGTGAGGACGGACAGACAGACGGCACCCAGGCTTCACCAGAGCCACACAGATGCGCCTCAGGTGCTTTTTTTAAAGTCATTTTATTGGGGCTCATGCAACTCATCACAATCCACACACCCATCAATTGTGCAAAACACATTTGTACATTCGTTACCCTCATTATTCTTTTTTTTAAAAATTATTTTATTGAGGGCTCGTATAATCCTTATCACAGTCCATACATACATCCATTGAGTCAAGCACGTGTACACCTGTTGCCCTCATCAATATGAAAACATTTGCCTTCTACTTTAGCCCTCGATATCGTGTGCTCATTTCCCCCCTCCCCCCTCCCTCGAACCCTTCACAATTCATATTATAGTTTTGTCGTAAGTTACCCAACAGATGCGCCCTCAGATGCTTTTATTGCTCTGGCTCATCGTCAGGGTCACATCGTGCCCCGGTATATGTGTGGGAAACAGAGTGAGTGCGTCCTGAGACATGAGGGGGTTTGAGACGTGTGGTCCCCTGCGGTGGCAGTGGCAGCAGACAGGGAACTGTCTCCTGTCACTCCAGCACGGTCTGTTTCCGAGTGGGATTTGTAGTGTTGGGCACATACTGCCAGGTCTACACAGGTCTGAGTGTGGTGACCCCAAGCCCACTGCCAGCTAGTCAGCTCTGCCCGCCTCTCAGCGACCCTGTAGGACCCAGCAGAAATGCTCCCTTAGTGGGTGTGGCCAAGTCTCCCTCACATCCCAAGGGTGCTCGTGTGCTGTAGGTTGACCTCGAGTTGACCCTCAGCTCAAGGTGACCCATGGGTGCAGAGCACCGCTGCTCCGTGTTTCAGAGCTGTGACCGTTCAGGCAGCTCTGGGTGGGTCAGACACCCACATTCTGACAGGTCCTCTTAGCCTCTGTGCCCCCACTCCCAGGGAAGTTGGAGCTTAACCAGACAAGTGATGTCTAAGTAGCTATAGCCCTTAGTTTCTCTAGAAACAGTCAGAATGCAAGCATGGATGGACTTAGGTTCACTTCACCTTTATCATTCTAGAAAGTGAGACACTGTCTACTCGAGTAATTGTAATACCACGTAATAACACGTTTGAGTAAATTGTGGTACATGGTTACACACGGGCCAACCTCACAACCGCTAACAGCAACCACAGCCTATGTTAAAACTGCATAGGCAACATGATCCCAGCTCTGCGCTCGCTCGAGCTTGCTCTCTCTCTCTCTCTCTCTCTCACACACACACACACACACACACACACACACACACAACCCCACCCGACCCCCAATAAAGCTGGAGTGCAAAACGTAAGCAGTGCAGCTCGGAAGCAGGAGGACTTCAGTCAGTGGGGACAGCGAGTGGGCTGGCCAGGCCTTGCCACTGGCTGCATTCCCTGAGTTGGAGTGCTTGGCCTCACGTCAGAGACATAGCTCGCTAGAAGGATCCCCACAGATGCCGCGGACACACCCCTGTCTCCCCAAAGGCAGAAAAGCCACCATTAGGAGGCACACTCCCCAGGTACTGAGCCACCACTCACACTCCTTCAGACAGTGCTTTGAAACAGTCCCACATCCCATCCTTTTACTGAGTCCTTGGAAACAACTCCAAGCAACAATGTGTCATGCTATAAAAATAACACACTAGGAAGGGGGTGGATAATAACACACCCTCCTATGCAAGTTAAAAGTGAACAAAGAAAATAAAAGTTGTCCTAAATTCTTTTGCTCACATGCCCCTGTGAGAAACCTAGTGGAAACAGCCCTCCACGAAGTTACTTGGATCACTGAGCCTTTCTGACCCTGGTCTCTGGCTGTACAGCAGAAATACGAGGACGGCAGTGAAACCTCGCTGGGGTGGGTGAGGGGTGCGGCAGACAGACAGAGACAGAGAGAGGAGGTGAGACTGCCCCCTGTCCAGGGTAGACAGTGCGAAGAATCCCATAAACCCCGCACTCCTGTCGACTTCTGGCTTTCACAAGTGTCGTGTCATGATGGTGACAGTCCAGCTTGAGAGGTGACCAGGAGGTTTAAATGGAGTATGTCTGTGAAAGCGATTGCAAATATGAAGTCCTCTGGAATGTAAAATAAAGCATCTACACCTCGCTGCCGTCTGTCATTACCTGACGTCGTCGTCGTCTTTCTACAACAGTGAAAGAAAGCCCTACAAGCTGACCCGTTTGCACTTGAATGACATTTATCTGACCCTAGTGGATGCCCAAGTAAGAGTGAAGCTGACGGTGATGGTTAAGCTTGTGGGTTGGCCCAGCAGGCCCTCGGTTTCTGGTGTTCTGATTGTTGTATGAAGACACCGTTTATTACCCATTTTCCCATAATGCCGGTTTTCACACACTGACCTGGGTTTTGGCAACTAAACCTTTCCAAAAGTGAGGAGGGGAGCAGTGAGCCCTTCTAGAGAATTCAGGTGGGCTGTCCCCGGCCTGGAGATGGAGGCCTCGAGAAGACAGAAAGGGTGACTGTTTCTTCTGTCTGTTCCGCAGGCGTGCAGCAGGCCCTGCTGAGCAGACAGCTGCCGGCTGACGCTCCAGAGCCGGGGGTCAGCCCGCGGACGCCCTACTCAGGGTTCGCAGCCGAAGGCAGAAGCACACTTGGAGATGCCGAGGCCTCTGACCCGCCTCCTCCTTACTCTGATTTTCACCCCAACAATCAGGAAAGCACTTCGAGCCATTCCGCCTTTATGCCTCGTCCTCAGGCCGTGGGCTCCTCCAACTCTGCGTCCACCAGCGGAGGGCTCAAGTCCCCCTCGAGTGGAGCGGACCTCCCTCCTTCCCAAAGAACAGCGGGGGACAGCGTGGACGGGTCCGACGACAGTGACTACGAGAATCTGATGGAGCCCACAGAGCCCGCCCACAGCGACTACTCCCCGAATTCCCGGGAGTCGAGGCCCCTGGCACATCCTGATGGGGACTCCAGGAACACTCAGCCCTCCCAGATGTAGCGACACAAGAGCACTCTCCACGCCACGCTCCCTTTCTTACTGCTGATTGAGAGAGACCCGAGGACTGAGTCTGAGGGACCCTTGGCCTTGGGGCTCAGTCCCCCTGCCCCAAACTAGCTGGAGGCCAGGGCCTGCCCGCTGCTCCTGGCTGGTCAGGCGGTGAGCCAGATTCTTGGCCGAATCAGGGCGATGATCACAGGGACTCGTTCTGGTGTGCTTCTTGGCTGTCCTGGTAAATTTAGGCCCCAGTGAAACGACCTGAGTCGTTTCAGTTCCGGACAGCAAACAGGCAGCCGGAGACTAAGCACAATTAGTCTATGAATCGTCCTTGGATCAGAACTTACCTCTCCCACGAGCACGCCTCCACGTTTACTTTCTCAGAGGGAAGCGAGCTCCACAGCAGCCTCAGAGCGCTGCTTCCCGCGGTGAGCCAAATCTGTCTTTGCCAGAAAGGGACTGTTGATAATACCCAGAAGCCTGGCTGGCCCACCGGCCCCCTCCCGTCTGCATGGCTCTGTGAGGTTCAAAGAGAGGGCTCTGTGGCCGCTTTCATTTTTCTACTCACCTGATATGTATTGTCCCTCAAAATGGTTGCCTTTAAAATTTTCAGAAAAATTAAAACATGTAGAAATACTAACTACCAGTCAGTAATCATCCAAATAAGTATGTCATATAATAAATGAATTATTTTTCTCTCAGTGGGTGACAGTGGCAACTGTTGCACCAGTCACATCTCTGGCTGCTGGTCCGGAGCCTGGAACTCGGGTCACAGGAAGGAGTCCGGGACCACACCCGGACTCGCGACGAGCCAATTCCAGACGCAGTGGACTTAGTACGTCAGGGACACAACTCACGTAGCTCTTCTGACAAACCCTCCCTTTGGTTTGGTTTGTGGAAGAAACACATTTTCATAAACTGTGTGGGAATCTTGGTGAATAAAGATTGGTTTTAAATCTGAATAATCATACTTTTTTTTCAGTTGCCCCCGGTGGATTATTGTGGAAGGTGTAGAACCTGGTGGGTTATGCTTGTGTTATTTTTCTTACTGACTGCTCTTCTGGTTTGGAGATGAAAGCGCGAGAGTGCAGGTTGGTAACGTAACGCAGGCTCCTCATGTGGAATAGGCGAGACCCACCGTTGGAGACCCAGTGAGCCCCAGAGGTGACCCTTTGGAGCCACTGCCTCCAGACTGGCTGACACCTGTACAAGGGCACAAGCTGGCCAAAGACCTTAACCACCTTCCCAAACTGATCTGGTTTCTCACGAGAGCATCTTCCCACCAACTCCACTTCCCGAGATAATGGAGAGCCTGCCATTTGAACTGCCCCGGGGCGGCGAGAACCGCTGTCCTCCAGAGAACACCAGTGCTGGCCTCTGCTTTCTAACTGCCTCTGCCTCTGACGGGGGTGGTGGGGGACGACGGTTGGTTCCTGTCTTATCAGCCTCCACCCAATGGCTCTGGTGCCAGTGCAACCTTCATTTTTTGGGGGGGGCTTTTTTTGTTTTAAGAGCTGGGGCCATTTCCTCCCTTTGGATTTGGACAGGAAGATATTTTTGTGCCACACCGAAACCTACCTTGTGTAGCTGACAAAGCAGTTCACCCTGACAGTGTTTCATGAGGGCACCCGGCCAAGCCTTGCCTTGCCCCTTCTGCGGGCTCCTGGTAGCCTTTTGAAATCATGGAAACTCCTCTGGGTGCTTTTGTCAGGCTATTTCAGGAGAAACCGAAACAGCCGATTCCCATGTTTCTGATGGTTTCAAGGAGACTTGAGCTAGGAGGATGGAGTGACAGAACTGAGTCCCCATTGAGTGTCCAATGTCATCTGTGAAAGTTCCCAGAAGGCCCTCTGTGATGGGAACCCCTCTTGTCAAAAGGACGCCTCGGAGCTGCCGCGTACCTTGGGACACAGGGTGACAGGAGGACCCATCTGCCTTCCAGAGAAACATCTCCCTCTTCCAAAAGCCACGGTGACAGTCCGTTTCCAGCAAGTTTTAATAAGTGGGCTGTAGCCTTTTAGGGTGCCTACTACACATCTCCCTCCAGCTACTTGGGGAAAAGAAGACTGGATTTGAATGAACTCCAAGGCCTGGGAGCGCTGAATGGCACGGTAACCAGCCTTCTGGAGAAGGATCCGGCAGACGTGGGGATGCAGCGTGCAGCGGTGACATAGTAATGATTGCATGCAAATGGGCGGCCTCGTAAACCCCTGTCTTAAGGAGGCTTCTCTTCTAAAGCGCCCGTCTGGGGATGGTGTCACATAAAAACAGTCGGAAGACGCCCTGCTTGTGAACGCTGCTCTGGCTCTGCAAAGCACCTTGACGGTCAGATTCTGAACGTTCTTCATCCTCCTAAGAAGCTCCGCTTCCTCCTCTCCCACAGCAGTCCCTTATTCGGCCAAACAGGAAGCTCAGGGCCAGTGGCCCTGCCAAGGGGATGCTCATAAATGACAGAAAATATTTACTTTTCAACTTCATGACAAGCAAATTGAGGGAAGTCTTGGGAACTAGTTGTGCGGCAGCCTTTCCTCCTCATCTATGTTTCTTGTGCCGCCCTAAACGGGCCAGAAGGAGCCCTGACGCCTCCGCGGAAACACGTTGGGCTGCTTAGCAAATGGTCAGAGGGACCTATCAGTCCCTCCAGGGGAGAAAGGTGGCAGTCTGTTCCCATCGTGAGTTACCAAGGACCGGCTCCACGCTGTCTCATAAGGTCGCTATGAGTCCTGTTCCACCTACCACAGCCCATAGAGTCCAAGCTGCAGGGCCCTGGGTTACTCTGCTCCTTGAGGCTGGGAGGAGGGCACCCTCTAGCAGGCCTTCGAACATCCACAGGGAGGTGACCCCTGGAATACCGGGGCTCACAGATGGAGCCCAGGGTAGCTTCCTATTTGTGCACAGACCTTGCAGGGGGAACCTGGCTGCCGCACACTCGTTAACAGCAAAGGGCTGCAAAGAATGTGAATGCTAATATGCAGAGAACGGTTCAACAGTGGCCGGGCCCACAGAAGAATCCTCTTCAGCCCTTCAGAATGTAACATCCCTGTCCTCGAAGCGATATTTCCAGAGGACAACAGAAGGAAACCAGTTCTCCAGATAGCACGCCCGGCCTGACCCGATTGCTGGGGGAAAGCACGAGCTTTATGAAGGACTGCTACTGAGAGCAGGAGCCCTGGTGCGTAGAGCCCACCGGCAGTCCGCAAAATCCACACATGGCAGTGCACTGCTGTAAAGGCGACAGCCTTGGGATCCTGATGGGGCAGTTCTGCTTTGCCCCCTTGTGGTCACTACGAGTCAGAATCGACAGGACCGCAGTGGGCTTGGGGTGTTGATGGACAACTGTGAGGAGACACAGTCTCACCAAGTAGTCACAGTGTCATCCTGGGGCCCCACCCCGCCCCCATCCGCACTTACTTGCCCTTTGTCATTGTTGCGCAATGCGATTACCGCTCCACCAGCAGGTAACATGATAAGAGGAGGAAAGATGAAAATGGTCCAGGATTTCGTCTTGCTTGGACTCACAATCAGTGCTCACAGAAGCAGCAGTCAGGAAACCAAACGAAGCATGGCATTGGGCAAATCTGCCCGAGACCTTGGTAAGGTCTGGAAAAGCAAGGACGTTCCTTTGGGGACTGAGGTGCGCCTGATCCAAGTGCTGATCCTTTCAGCCACCTCGCGTGCACATGAGGGTTGAACACTGATAAGGAGGCTGGGGAGGATCGATGCGTTTGAATTGTGGTGCTGGAGAAGAATGTTGAAAGTACCGCGGACTGCCAAAAGAACAAACAATCTGTCTCGGAACAAGTATGGCCAGGAGGGCGAGACTCCATCTCACGTACTTTGGACATGTTACCAGGAAAGACCAGTCCCTGTAAAAGGGCATTGTGCTTGGTAAAGAGAAGGGTGGCAAAAAAGAGGAAGACCTTTAACAAGATGGAGTGACACAGTGGCAACAACAAAGGGCTCAAACGTCATGAGTGTGAGGAGGGCACCGGGCAGGGCCTTTCGTTCGGTTGTGCATGGGGTGGTTAAGCGTTACTACCTGCTCTGGGCACCGCTTGGTAGAGCTAAGGCCACGAAGGCTCAGCTGATGAGAACAGATGTGGCTTGTTGGTAGTTACCGTCAGCTGAGCCTGACTCTTGGCGACATGCTGGTGCAGAGCAGAAATGCTCCATAAAGTCTTCCTGGTTATACTGGACAGAAACAGGTCACTGGGCGGATTTGAACCTGCAACCTTCAGGTTAGCAGTCTCGTGTAAACCTTCTGTAGGGCAACTGACCTGAAATGGGGAGAAACCACAAGATCGTCTTGGGGAATGTGTGTGGAAGGAGTCGGAAGATAGACAGATAGATAGATAAGCCCAGGGTGGCTTATCATACATGTCCATATGTGTCCCTGTTTTTGCTTCTCTCGAGAACCCAGTCTAATGAGTCCCAATAAACATAAAATCGCCCTCATCACCAACAGCCTCGCTGACAGTTTGGACTGTCTCTCTGCGCAACACCAAACAGCCACTCTCAGAGTTTCCCTAGCCTAACTGCCGTCCTGGGGTCTTGACAGGCCAATGTTTGTTATCGACTCTCCTGAGACTGGACACTGAGGACGTCCTGTCCTATTAGTTGGCTTAATTTTATGAAGGTGGTCTCAAAATCCTAAGAGCTTTGCAAATGTCTCTTGGCCAATTTTCAGGATGAAACAAATGTAAAAGATAATTGTAACTGTTCACGTTGATCACCAAGCAGCAAATCTATTTTCAGTATAACATTAGGCAAGGTAGGAGGTACCCCTCCACCCTTAGGGACTGCTACTTTGTATTGTTTCTGTAGACCGGTAACATTTGCTCTGTCATCCCTTCTTCTTTTTCAGGGCTCCCTTCATCAGTTTTACATCTTCAATGACTTTTACCATTTTAGCAGCTTCGATAATCAAAGTATTCCTTTCTTTTTTAAAAGATAAATCATTTTATTGGGGCTGTTACAACTCTTATAACAATACAGACATTAATTGTATCAAGCACATTTGTACGTATGTTGCCATCATTTTCAAAACATGTTCTTTCTACTTGAGCTTTTGGTATCAGCTCCTTTTTCCCCTCCCTCCCCCACATTCCTTTCTTTTTTTAAAAATCATTTACTGGTGACTTGAACAACTTTTATCACAATCCATACATGCATCCATTGTGTCAAGCACATTTGTACGTTTGTTTCCATCAACAAACGTTGATGCCCTTGGTATCAGCTCATTTCCCCCCCTCCATCCCCGCACCCCCTCACTCATGAACACTTGATAATTTATAAATTATTATTTTGTCATATCTT